ATTAATTGATTTGAACTAATTCATGTATGTTTTATTTTTTTTCAGATTCTATCTGAAAAGTTTCAAAAAATGATGAATAGAATCAAAAAATTTTTGCTAGCAAACCATTTGAGTATCATTCGAAAATGCAATTGAGATATAATTTGTGTCAGAGTTCATTGTTTTACTGAAAATTTCGATCGTCACCCATCCATCTGATTCCACTGCGAAACTTACACCTTTATCACACTTCCCTTCTTTAGTACAATTTATGGGATAGAAAATACAATTCTAAAAGCAAATTTTTGCTAGTAATTACGCTTTACTTTCATTCTTTGACTAACTTATGCAAATTTAATTCAGCCAAATACACTCTAATTAAATTTTCAAAAAATATGCAAATTAAACTAGCAAAAAATCCCAAGCAAAATTTTAAATTTCAATATTAAATATTAATTGGTATTTTAGTTATTTTTTACTCAAGAAACAACTGATTTTTTCATTGTCTGATGCTGATACTAACAGTAATTTTAACAATTTACAATAATATCAAAAAGAATTTTCGTATCTTTTCATCACATACACAATAAATCAATTAATATCAGTAATTCAATTAATTAATCAATCAGTCGATGAATCAGTACTATTTAAATTAAAACTTGCCTTAATTTTTGAACATTCACTCAAATTAAGTTCTGCTGAACAGAAAGCAAGAAATGCAAGAGCCAAAATAGATATTAGCTGAGATTTCATAGCTATCACTACCATTAATCTTCTGAAATCCAAACATTTCACTTATTATTCATTCAAATTCATTGGAAAATATTAAATCCTTTTATCAACAAATATGACAATAATAACTGCTTTTATTTTAGACAGAGATAAAAGTTTGGTCAATTATTCAACAAGAAAACATCGAATAACTGAGTACTGTAGGATTTTGTAATATAGGCAGCAAAGTTTTTAAAGTAAATAACAGTGAAAGTAAACTTTACTTCTTATTTCAAAAAAAATATTTTATTATTTCTACACGTTTTACTGAAATTTTATTGGCTTAAAAAATATCATTTG